AAATGCTACCTTGTTTATGAGAATTCCAGGGTTCTCCACCTGTCAGGCCTGATGCAATTCAGCTGCACAAGCCTGAGATATTTGATTCTCCATGTGTCGGGGACAAGTGTCATACATACTGATTTGCACAGACAACCAGAGAGATCCCTCTCCAGGGAAAGCCAGCATTTTGACAAGGCTGAGTGATGACTTAGAACAACAGGGGTAGGAACTATTGTGTGGAATTGCCCATAGACCCAGGCAGATCTTGTGCCAGGTCGTTGAGAGCTGCCACATTAAAATATAATTTGAGGGGCGCCTGGGTGGCGCAGTCGGTTAAGCATCCGACTTCAGCCAGGTCACGATCTCACAGTCTGTGAGTTCGAGCCCCGCGTCGGGCTCTGGGCTGATGGCTCAGAGCCTGGAGCCTGTTTCCGATTCTGTGTCTCCCTCTCTCTCTGCCCCTCCCCCATTCATGCTCTGTCTCTCTCTGTCCCCAAAATAAATAAACGTTGAAAAAAAAATTTTTTTTTTAAATATATAATTTGAAATTTAAATTCCTTGTAAAACAACAAAAAAATATGGGTCAGAAAGCTACTAATGGAGACCCTAGGGAAAGCACTGTCACTAAATTACCCTGAAGACTTCGAAGTGACTGAAAGAGCAAGAGCATTAGAAAAGTGGTCAGTTAAAATGCTAGAAGTAAAAAAAAAAGGCAAAAAAGCAAAACATCTTTTAAGAGTCAGCACATGGAGGCATTGATGGGGTCAGGCAGTCACCATCTGTATTTTTATTCCCAGGTATGTTTATTATATTTGAGATGATAAAAGACTAGTTTTGATGATCTAATAAGGTAATAAGGTTGTAGTAGGAGACAAGACTCTTGGTATGATGAAGAAATTAATCTAAATATCATATTACTTCACTGTTAGAGCTTTTCTCTTGAAGAATGAGAATTATATATGACCTTAACAGTTTTTCATAAAACTTGAATCATCCTGCCCCCAACCAGCAGACATTTTCAACTCTCTTTTAGCCTCTAATTTATACCTTTGTCTCCTTGCTCTTAGCAAGATCTTGCTTTCCTGAGAAGACAACACTATTTCAACCCCTCAATTGTTCTCTGCCTTCTCTAGACTTTGATCCAGCCGTTTCCCTTCTTTTTCCTCTGTCTTCAGCCTCTTTCCTCTGGCTTATTCTGCACAGCCTATGAATTAGAAATCTAAGAGAAATCTTCACTTGGCTTTATACTCCATAGGCTACTATTTTTTTCTCTTTCCATCCCTTATCACCAGCTTCTGAGAAGTGCAGTCCACACCACTCCTCATCATTCATGCCCTCTGCTACCCCTTGGTGTTTGACTGCTACAATTATTTTCTCAGATATCTCTAATTATTCAATGGCATTTCTTAATCATCCACTACTCTTACCTGGAATAGGGGTGTGTGTGTGTGTGTGTGTTGATCTATTTACACATGAGGTTATATGTGCTTACTTGTGTGATATCTATTATTTGTGTCCCTTACTTGACAGACAAAGTGGGTTTTTTCTCTAGCTAAAAGGTCAGGTAGGGAGAAGGTGGCCCCAAACCCCAACAGGGGTGCTGGAACTTGCCACTAAGATATAAGTGGAACTAAAGTGTGACCAAGATAAATATGACCAAAGTCAGAGGTTTAAGAAATTGGATTGTGTCTCCTCCCCTTCCTATCTACATGGTGTCTGTCCAGTGTGTTCTTCTCATACTATCACGAGAAGGCTCATCTAAATAGACATTGGTTTTTGGCCAGCCTTGAGCCCAGGTTGTCCTTACAAACCCAGCCAGGTATGGGCAGAGCTGGTGTGAGTGTGTCCTCCATTGTTGCAGGAGATGGTCTCCTGGGAAGGTACATACGAGTCTTGGACGTTCTGTGTAAGATTGAGCCCTGCCAGCAAGCTAATTAAATGAGTTGTTTAAGAGCTCCAAGCTTAGCAGCAAGAGTGGGTTGCTAATTTCCTGACTCACCTATTCAACTCACTTGTGGTCCCAGCAAATATTCCCTCTTGTAGGACACACTGCCTGGCTTTATTTCGAAGCTATTCCATTTCTTCACAGGGTAGATAGGAATGTGCAATATAATAGCTTTTCTCTTTTGTGTGGGATATCGCTTATGAAGTAGAGTTCAGTTCTTTGTGCAAAAGGAATTGTGGGAATGTCAGAACAGTTTTGAACAAAACTGCATATTCAGTTAAAATCCTTTCCCTTCAAATGCCCTAAGTTCTCACTGGAAAGATGAGGAGTCCCTGTTAGCACAGAGGAGACCCTATAACTGGGGAGGTGGGGGGTGGAATCCCCACCTTTGTCCCTATTTGCGAGCCTAGGAAATGCTGTGGGAGTGTAGATGAGCTGCAAGTCATCTTCAGAGCTTAGAAATACAAATAACTACAGAGACTAAAGTCAACAACAGAGCTGCCATGATAGAATTTTGTAGTTTAGGAGTAAATTTACTTTTGTTCCACAAGATCCTAGCAAAAGGAAAATGTTCTTATTTACAACCCCTAACTGAAGCCTCTTTGTTTTGATGAGGGTCTTTACCCAAAAAGAAGAAAGAGGTACTTTTTCTTAGCAGAGGTAATTGCTACCTCTCCTTACTACCACTACCTGCAAAGGCTAAGGGTTGTAGCAAATGTGAATAGCTACCAACTACTAGAGAATACATCTCTGCCTTTTACCTGTCATAATTAAGGACCTATGCAGCTAGAATAATGAAATTGACTATATGCCTGGTAAAATGGAATCTGGCTAATTGTCATGCCAATTCATGACATTTTATTTCTCTTGTCTCTTCTACTTCAAAGCTGGTTGTTGAGTTCAATACTCCTTCCTCTAGGATAATTTTTAGTAAATAAAAATCTATTTACAGAAATTCATGATGGATAGTTTCTAGCTGATTTGTTCATGCTTAGCGTTATGTTTGGCAAATATACCATGTGTTTTTTATGTTTCTTTTTCTCCACTCATCCCTTAACTGTAAATGTCCCTCAAGAATCTCCTATGAACTCTCTTCTTTGTCTGTATACTTTGCCCAGGGACTCGGTCATTCTTATGGCTTTATGTTTCATCTATGTGTTTATTAACCCCCAAATTCTTTCTTCTGCCTCAACTCTGTAGAGTTCAAACCTTTTATTTCCAGATTTCTTATTAAAATTGCCACTTGAAATTCCACCTGACTATTTAAGTCAGCATGTCCAAAACCAAACTTAGTGGATTCCCCTGTCTACAAACTAATTTCTCTTATGCAACCTCATCTACTAATTATCCAGGATTATAACCCAGAATCACTCCCTGCTGCCTCTCAAACACCAAGACTCACCAATTCTCTATCCCAAATATCTTGGACATACAGTCTCTTCTGCTGTGTCCCCTCTGCCATTGCCTTTTACTTATTCACTCATTAAAGGCTTACTATATTGTAGCACTGTCCTAAGGGCTACTGACATTCAGGGAAGATGAGAATCAATGAATAAGTGAAATACAAAGCACTGTGGTCATTGACCTATCAGAACCCAGAATGGTGGACGTATAGAGTGGAACAGGATGTTCAGGAGTTTGTGAGTCTGAATCTAGGACTCTTCCAGTACAACCATCTCTTGCTAGAACATTTGGGAAAGCCTCCAGCCATATGTCCATTCTGCCCTCTGCCCTTCTGCCTGTGCTTTATTTTCAGAACTGAAATCAGATTGTCACTCTTCTGACTAAATTCCTTTCCTGGCTCCCTACTGCAGCAGAACAAGTGCCAAATTTCTTCACTCTACTTACAAAACCTTCCAACTCAGCTTTTGTTCCCCATAGCACTATTCTTTTATACAACATAGTTACTAACCTCACAGTCCATGAAATAGGAAAGGAAAGAACAGAAATGAAAATGCCCACTCTGCCTTAAAAATTTACCATCAGTAGCATTCCCAACCATCCTCTTTACCCCTTTGGCAATCAACTCAGCGGATCATTTTCCTAATGATTGCTGTTCACACTTTGCAAAACTGTTTAAAGTATCAAGACACTGAATGGTTTTGGTGAACACAGATAATCAGTATGTGATTATTTACTGTCCTGATGTACCCTGAGAGCTTCTGTATGATATGTGGCATATAGTAGCCTTGCAGCAGTCTGCCAGAAACAAGTCCTTAGGTCTTGCTCTTAGAAACATCGGGTTCATCTTTATAGATAAGTATAATCTCAAGAGAGAATGAGCCAGGTGCTGGCCACCTCTCCCTTCACAGGAGTGGGCCATGAAACAACATTCATACATTAATGTATTCATTCACTCATTCATGCATCAAACACTTATTGAGAGTTTGCCAAGTACCCTGTGTTGCAAAGATGTGCCCTATCCCCAGGGAGCTCACAGTGTTTTCTCTGATAGGTTTTGTGATTTGATTCAAATGCTGGGATCAAAAAGGAGTGAGCCAGATTTCTGCTGAGGGATCGGGGTCCTGGGGAACACTTGAGAGGTTTTTAAAGATTGAAGAAAGTTTTATGTTGGAGTAAGAAGGTGTGTGTGTGTGTGTGTGTGTGTGTGTGTGTGTGTGTGTGTTTAAAGAAGGGGGGAATGGTAGCTCATGGATGGGAAAGAAATCTCTGTCTTGGTAAAGTGAACCAAAATGCAAAGTTAATTTAAAAAACTACATGATCTGGGGAGATTGTAGCAAGTTCAATATGGCTTGAGGCAGGCAGCAAAGCGTTGACAGGGGATACAGGGGGAGATGCTGGAAGGTAAACAAGGTGCAGATTATAGAAGACTTGTACCAAGGAGCTCAAACTTTCTCTATAAGCAGTGAGAAGCCCTGAGAAATCTCTAACGGGGGAATGACTCATTAGTTGTTTGTTTTTTTTTTTTTTAATAAAGATCTAGTGTGGGTACAGAGGATTGATTTGAGAAAATGAGCATTTAATGAATTCTTTTCAGAGGTGACCACACCCAAGGATAAATACATGGCTATGCTTCAGCTAACCCTGTATATTTGTGTGTGTTTCCTCCTAGTGACTGTGCTGGCCATTTTCCATGAACTGCACGTCGACCCTGACCTATACACACTCCTGTTTGGGGAGAGTGTGTTGAATGATGCAGTGGCCATTGTCCTTACATAGTAAGTACCAGAACTGGGCCTCTGTTTTTTTGATCATGTGAAATATGCTTCTGCTTGGTGATAATTCCCAGTGGCTTTAATAGTATCTTTTCTCTTATGTCAAAGAGGTGTGGCAATTTCTAGTTTTTAAGGAATTGTTACCACAGAAGATCTCTAATAATGGGTACAATTCATTAGGTACCTAATTTTTAACACTATTAATGAGTTTCATGTTTCTAACCTATTACAAGGTACCACCCAGAGGGTAACTGTTTTTTCCCCAGGTGCCTATATTTAGCTGATTCACTTAGAGTTCCTAAAATGCATGTAAATGAGCTTCCTTCATTTCAAATCAACATCATTTACTTTTTTTCTTTATACATGCCATTTTCCAGATAATGGACTAATGCTAACTATTGTATTTATAGTAAGTTTGACAAATTGGAAATAGAACTTGAGAGTCAGAATACTCTTTATTTCTCAATGCAAATGTAATGTGTTATAGGAGTACACACATCTTGAAATCATTGTGTCACATGTGAAACTAATGGAGCTTCAGCTAAGCGCTAACATAATTTTCCCTTGATCCTGGAAGAATTTTCCTTTTGAGATGAAAACTAGTGCTCTTTCCTCACCTTCCCTTTAGACACTTACCATTTATATTTAGTAAATGCCACGTCGGTGGCTTTCACTATGTCAAAGGTCTCTTCTTGGTTTTCGATTAAGACCAACATTTTGGGCAACTGTCAAATAACCCAAAGGAAAACAGCTATCTGATAATTAAATGTGACAACAGGATTCAATTCAGGGTGTTAATTACTTCAAATGCATTTGAAAATGTATTGTGAAGTAACAAAGGATTTTTAAAAGTCAGATCTCACGGAGGGAAGCAGGAAATCACAGAGCAGAACAACTCTTCTGCCAGCTGACATTTCTTAAGGCTACCACCCAAAGTTGTCACTGAGCTCAGCAAATTTTAAGCAAGTGTCTCCAGATGAACTGTTATTTCACCTGGACATTGAGAGTGCCTCTCCTGCATTAAAGGAAAATACCAGTGAGTGCAAATTAAGAGCAAAAGCCATGGCAGATTCACAAATGCTAAATTAGGATGCTTTTAAAGAAACACTGAGAACAATTAATTAGGACATCAGGAATCTCTGTCCAAGAAATACTAGTATTAAAGGAACATTTGGAATAATTTTTTTTTCATCTGCTGAGTTCCTCATTTTTGTGTCCTGGGCTGCCAAATTGTAAAAGGCCAAGTGAAGCGAAACCACCAAAGCACAAATGCGCTTGGGAAAGAACCATGCAGCTACAACCAAAGGAAGGTTTGGCCTTTCCACTTTCAGCCCTACCATTCACAGTAGTTTTCCATTTAAAATGCAGACTCCAGGGATGAATGTTGATGCTGTTGTGCACAAGCCCAGGGGCATTTGAAACAATCTATATATTATCTCTTTAGGTCAATACATGGTTATTACTGGCACTGCCTTTTCTACTCATCTACCCATGTGTTGCATGTCTTCTAAAGTGTTTCCCACCGTGGCAAGATCTCTTTCCTTTTTTTTTTTTCTAGGCATGGGACACTTGCCATTCTAGCCAAAATCTTAGGTTTCACAGGTTTGGCAATTTAGGTGTCATGCAGAGTGAACCCAATGAGTTCCACCTTTAAAGTAAAAGTAAAACTAAATTAGGAATACTTGACATGGAAACCTCCACACTTTCAGACCTGCAGGCTCTTTCTTCTACCTGGTGCACCTGGACCCCACTGGCCTCTTTCTGAGCTCTACTGAGTAGAATGCCCCTACGCTGCCTGGGATCCAAAGTGTTTGGCCACCAGTGCTATCTGTTGCTGACCACACCCTCCACTCTGTGCAATTTTCCACAGTGGTGTCCTCTTCACTTTGCTCACTTGCTTACTTGCTTTTTACACTTACATCACAGCACATATGACCATCTCTTTTTATATACCTACTTACACACACATATTCCCTTTCCTTTTAATGCCTCATCCCCACACTGTCTCTTCCAACTATCTTCTTGCTCCCTATTTAAAAGTTTTGCATGACTTTCAGACCAGAAGTTCAAACATTTGTTTCTTCACTTTTCTCTTCCTTCACATTAAACCATGCACAGCACCCTGACACAACTCTCTGGCTGGTAACTCATGCCTTTACATGCACAGAGTTCACTCCTTCCCAGCTTCTGTTACTTCCTAATCAAGTCTTTCAGCACTTACCTCAGTCTCCTTCGGGAACCACTAGCCCACATGCTAAGCTCCTACTCCAGCCCTGCATGAACCTTGGTCAATTCCCTTCCAGCACAGCAGGGCAATCTTGGGTTTGAACTTATATTTGCCTTTTTAGATAGTGACTTTTGGAAGAGCGAATCTATGTGCTTGAAATGCATATTAAAAGAACAAATAAAACTTCTTTTGTGTTTTCCTCTTCTTAGTTCCATCTTTGTGTAGTTTTGAAGTTTAAGAATAGTGATACAGCTCTTCTTGTGCCATGGAAAAGAGAAGTTACACATTTTGATGTGAAGTCCAGTATAATAAAGAACTCAAATCATTGACCACTTTGGCCCTTGGCACTACCTCCAGAGCTCCTTTGGAATGGCCACATACTTTCATTTACTTTCCCATCTCCCACCACCAAATGTCCTTGTTTAAGAACTATCCTTTCCAGTTTTAGTATTTTTTAAATTTTAATTTAAAATTTTAAATTTTTAAAATTTACAGTGCTGTGCTCTAGCACTTCATTCAAATATATAGTAATTTAGCCACATTTTAGATTAAGTCAGCTTTTCTGTGCTAGTCTAGGAAGCACGTGGCAAATTATAATACTGTTTCTTAGGTTAAATGTGCTCTGAATTTCAGACAACTAATGTATAATTAAATTTGATGACCACAACTATTGTACACAGCAGCAGGTGGTGGATGGTGTCCCGAGAGCTTAAAAAGAGGTTGTCCAGAAGTGTTCATCTTAAAATAAAAGTAACTTTATTTAACAAAAATTTTTGAAATTAGCCTCTCTCTTACCCATACTGTCATATTAAGTATGTACGGAGTGTCGTGCCCAAAAGTGTAGTACGTGGACTGGTTCATAAATGCATGAATTCCACATGATGGTTCTGCACTTCTAAAGATTGTGTAATAGTCTATGAAGAAAGGCAAAAGACATACTGGAGAGGGATGTGTGTTTTTGAATCTTGAACAAAGACATTACTTTCAGAGGCAATATGGTAGAATAGAAAGTCAAAAGAGCTGATGTCAGGCTTGCCATGAATTAGCGGTGCAGTTATTACAGTTGACAGGAAACCAACCCAAATTGGAGTAAGCAAAAAGGGAATTTGTGTTGGCTGTGTTGACTGAACGGCAGGAGTAGAAATGGCAGCAAAGGAGCCAGTGAAATGAGCAGGACTCCTTTTTTTTTCCCCTCACTCAGCTTCTTCAGGGTTAGCTCCCTCACCTGGTCCCAGGTTGGCTGCCAGCATCTCCTAGGACTATATCTTTCTTCAGGAGAATAGAGCAAGAATCTCTGTCCCATTAGTCCCAGTCCAAATCTTAGTACACCTGACAGATTGTGATGCCATTTCAGACCCTCTTGTGGCCAAGGAAATGTCCTGCGTTTATTGGCTCAGCTCTAAGGCATATGCGTCAGGAGTTTAAAACTGTGCTCATTTTCACCAGGAAGTACATAAACTAAGACTGGGAAAAGGTAGGATTATTGCTCAGAGTGATAGTGCCACAAAAAAGAAGTGGATGGTGCACAGACTCTAAAGAAAACCAAAACTAGAAGCCATGACAGTGACTCCATACAGCTGTGAGCTCTTCATGCTTGTTTCCTTGCCTATATCTATATACTTTACAAAATTGTTCTGAGCGATAAATAAAGCAATATAGTTGGAAAGACTATAATTCTATATAATTGACGCTATATAAAGATATATACTTATAATTTATATAACCATTTATATCAAGATCTTTCATTCTACTTACACAGATCTCTTTCATTTCATTAAAATGACTAAGGATAGACCTGCTTCTAGTGAAGCATTCCTTCATAAATACGACATTTTATGATCCAAGGAATATAGAGAATAACCATTTTCACATGTGGTTTACCCCATTAAGAGTGAGCCACTTAGTTAAAGCATGCCGTCTAAAGTTGATAAATCAAGAAATAGAGGTTGAAGTATATTACTTAAAGTTATAAAGGCACTCACAGCGAAATTGATATTACTCATGGGAGTTAGTTGGAGGAGGGGAGAGGGGAAGGAAGGAATAAGTTAACGAAAATGTCACATCTCTCATAGTAATTAATGTACACTGTGTAGAGTTGACAAATCAAGAAATGGATGTATCTGGCTATCACTTAGAGTCACAGGGCAACCATCAGAAGAACTAAACCCATAAATGGTTAAAAGGAGATACTTTTGCTATGTAGAACTATGATTTATGCAAAGGGGACAAATGTAATTTAACTCTTTATTTTGCATCTTTTTATACTGAGTGTTTGTATTTGTTTGAATTATATTTATTTAAAATATTCTTTAGGTGATCAAGGTATCAAAAGCAGAAACTAGGAAAGAAAAGCAATCTATTTGATGGCAATACAGTCGAACAATTCTAGGAGGCAAGAGTCACCACAAATAAAATTAAATGATGAAGGATAAACCATGAAAGCAGTTTCAACACACAATGTTGATAGGTTGGTGGTCTTCATAACATACATGATAAATTGTAAATCTCCTTAATGTACCAAATGTATTAGTTATGTGACTTTAGGTAAACTACTTAACTTTTCTGTGCCTCAGATGCCTTGTTATAAAACAAGGCTGGTAATACCACTCACCTCATTAGATGAGATTAAACATAGAATACCAGAACAGAGCCTGGCTTATAACACTCAATAAACATTATATATTAGCTGCTGATATTACTACTGTTGTCAAACACCAATAAGGAAAAGGTAAACATGATAGAAAAATGGGCAAATACATAAGTAGGTAATGAACAG